AGCCGTGGGAAGTGGGGAGTCTTCGGGAAGATCAAATCATGGAGCAGTTATAGGACAAGGGGCTTCCTGTTGCCGAAGTGCCCCCCCCCCGCCCCCCCAGGACTGGCCGCCTAGACAGGTCTTACCAGGCGGTGACAGTGAGGTGTGGGAGGCCCCGAGAGGTGGCGCCTGGCTGCGCTGAGGCCCCTCATGCCACTGCCCTGCCAAAACGCGGGGGGTTTTCCTCAGCCCAGGGGGGCCCCAGGAGCCTGGTAACTAGGTGGAGGGTACAAAGGGCTGACGTGTCCCCCTCGAGCTCATAAGCTGAAGCCTAACCCCTGAGGTGATGGTTTTAGGAGGTGGGGCCTTTGGGGGTGCACCCTTATGATGGGGGTTAGCGCCCTTATCAAGGAGACCCCAGGGCGCTCCCTCCCTCCCTCTGTGAGGACGAGGGCCGGGGCCAGAGTCAGACGGTGGCTGATGGCACCCTGAGCGCGGACTCCGGCCCACCAGCCTCCACACGCTGAGCAGTGGATTCCGGTTGACAGGCCTCTGACCCCCGGCCCCGCCCTGCACCCCTCCCAGAGCCGCTCGACACACCCCAAGGCAGCGCGGACTGGCTTTCACCCACTCTGTCATTTTCACCATTAGCGGCTCCTTTCCAATCCCTTCCGCAGGCCAGACTGCAGCCCAGGAAGCGCTCTGTCAGAAGGAGAAGCGGAAGTGGGAAGGCTCTGGGGACAGGTGTGCGGCCAAGGACACCAAGGCTGCAGGGAACGTGTATGAACATGTATTTGAGCCAAACAGAGGACGTGCCGGAGCAGAAGCTCCCAGACAGAGCACGGCCCTGAGGCCGGCAGTGGGCGCTCAGTGCGCTGGGCGGAAGCGGAGGAGGAGGGTGGTCTGGAGGCGGAGGCAGGTGGGGATGGGTTCCGGGATGGTTAACAAGATCAGGTGCTCTCAGGGCGGTTTATTCCAAAGGCGTGTAACCTAGATGCACAGAACAATGAACGGGCTTGCTTACAGGCCCGATGGCCTTGCACTAGTCGGAGGTTTGGGTGCGACCGCCACGACCTGCCCATTAGGATTCGTGAGGAGGCCGCCCTGAGGTGGCTCCACAGAACCCTTCTCCGTCCCCAGGTGGGTCTCGGTTTACAGGTTCCCAGGTGCTGACCTGGAAATGGCTGTGGCCCTAAGGATCACATGGGGGTGTGAACGGCTTCCTAGAGCCCACACCCCACAGCCAGCAGGAGCCCCAAATGCCAACCAGTAGTCAAACCTCCATTCTGGAATGTCTCCCTTCTCGAAAACTTATGTTCTCAACCAAGTGATTCATGGGAAAATGTCTCGGTTGTCGAACAGAACTTCAGTTCTTGATCCAACAGCCCTTTTATGCTGATACCTGTATGATCAGACTCGTCTCAGGCAACAAAGGAGAGACTGTGCGGGTTAGGACTAGGGTTAGGGTTAGGGTTAGGGTTAGGGTTAGGACTAGGGTTAGGGTTAGGGTTAGGGTTAGGGTTAGGGTTAGGACTAGGGTTAGGGTTAGGGTTAGGGTTAGGACTAGGGTTAGGGTTAGGGTTAGGGTTAGGGTTAGGGTTAGGACTAGGGTTAGGGTTAGGGTTAGGGTTAGGACTAGGGTTAGGGTTAGGGTTAGGACTAGGACAGTGATGGCGAACCTATGACACGGGAACTCATTTTTCTGGTTGATTTTTCTTTGTTAAATGACATTTAAATATATAAAATAAATATCAAAAATATAAGTCTTTGTCTTACTATGGTTGCAAATATCAAAAAATTTCTATATGTGACAAGGCACCAGAGTTAAGTTAGGGTTTTACAAAATGCTGACACGCCGAGCTCAAAAGGTTCGCCATCACTGGACT